GAAAAAAAAGCAGGTTCGCCGCTTTTTTTTTTTTTTTTAGTGGAGCCTGCCTGCACAGCCCCTGAGCTGCACAGGGCCAGGTGCTTCCCTCCACGGCTGTTGCACTGTTACGTGGCAAACTAAAACACCTCGAAGGTGTTTTATTTTGCTACATCCCAAAGTCATTTAAAGAGCAATACACCATTCAGTGTAAACAGCAATGCCATTAAAAGTGCAAAAGGGCATTTAAGCTGCTTTAAAGACCAATGTTGTGGTGTGTACAAAGGTCCATTATATAAGAATCCCAGCTGACTCATTACATATTTCAGTGGTGCCAGTTAAGTATTAACACTAACAAAACCATAGTGATGAATCATGGAGAACCATGCATCCTGCTTTTTACTAGTACAATGTTAAGACAATATTATAGTATACGTTATATATTAATAATGTATTAAGTATAATATTTCAGTAACTTATATATTAATGTTTTCTGGTTGTTGTACCAAAATTAGAACTTGGGATTGATTCATTTTAGTTCCCAGGTTTACTAAAAAAGAGAAAGAAACTGCCTATAAATGTTTCCCTTCATGCCAAACTGTAACTGGATGTGACAATGTACATATGATATGTTCAAGAACAGAAAATGGACAGTTCAATAATTTCACTTCTTCAGTGTTATATATGTAGTAGCAAACAATTCAGGTATATGAACACCTCTACATGTAGTACTACAAAGTGTCTTGGTACTACAAAGTGACCTAGGAGCCCTCAAAGGGTCTCACAGCATCCCAGAGTGATGTGACAACCCAGTTTGTGAACTCCTGTTATAATCATTTGCAAGTCATGCAATTTTTTAACTGCCATTGACAAGAAAATAGAGACTAGGAATATTAACTTTATTCTCTGAATACATTATTTCTATATATCTACTCTGTCCTAGAATTCACAAACCAAGAATATAAAAGTTCCCTTTTCATAAACGCTTCCTCAGCATCTTTCTACTCTGTTACATCAGATACATATCTTAAAGCTTGAAAATATGGAAATGAGACAAAGTTATGGCTGAAAAAAATTGATAGATTTGGTTCTAGGACACTGAAAGAACAAGTATGGTTAATCTAACATGAGTGGTTTTATCTTTTAGCAGGATACAGAACCTCAAAGGGTATGTCTACACTATGTTGGATGGTGCTAGGAAGCACTGCCATGAAAGCATGCCACATTCACATGTTCCTGCTCCCAAAATTCCCCATAGAAATTAAAGATCATGTAGTCACCATTAACGTGGCACTTAGCATACCATAAACTGCTCTCATGAGCACACCCAAAGCCTGAAAAAGGCACCAGGCATGCCCTGAGCATATGTCAAAAAGCAGCTATGTGCTATTTTTTCAGTATTTGGCCTCATGTGGAGCAGTAGTGAACCGTGTTTTTACATGGTAAGGTCCAACATTGTGTTGACATGTCCACTCCAGTATCTGTGGAGGCACCTCATACATAGCTAGCTGATTCTTACAAAATGTGTGATGACCTTTTTTTGTTGAGTGAAAGTCAGTTAAAATCATAGCTCAGCTCATTATGATCCATCAAATAAAGAAAATCCTGAATAAAGATTGAAGAACAGCTTTCAATAGAACACTACCTTAATCTGCGTAAGCCAAGATAATGAAAGTCTAGTCTGTAAGATTAAGGTGTTTTTCCACTGCTATAATTTTCATGTGCAAAGCATACCATTGATCATATATCTTAAATTTTAGCCAACTAGTACACATTACCAGCATTCAGGAAAAGAGAATTCTTCTATGAGATTCTCTATGGGAACAGATAAAATTCTCACCTATTCTTTATAAGGGATATTAAACTGACAACATTCCCCCTACCTTCTTGAAGTTCTTTCAAAAACACCAAAGCAGTTGTATTTCTTTCAAGAAGCTTAGAATATCTAGGCTGTTTGTGAATTTTTTTTTTTTTTTTTTAATAAGTAAGAAATAAACCCAGCCTCAGAACCACAGAATTAACAAGGGGTTTGGCCAAACAAGTGCTGGTCACCATGCTGAGTTATACATTTCTTTACCCTTTTGATATACAATATGAAATTATCATATTGTAAAACCTCCAGAGACAGAGACTATACACTGATTTACTTTGTGTGTAGCCATTTACATGAGGTTTGCTCTTCCTGTTTCTGGCTACTTCCCAAATAGCAATTATATTAAAAAACAAACACACAAATTCCAGGACCCTATTGTCACTTCAAAGCCCATCTGGGTAATAACTAAATTTCTGAGGGGTTTATGACCCCACTCATAGAAACCATGATCCTATTTGAGGTTGCACCCCAAGTTCAGAAGCCATTGCTTTAACAGTATGGAGCAAAACTCTTCAGGGGATATTCTGCATCAAAGGCATGCTCCTATATTTCTGGCCAATGCTGCTGTCTGTCCATTAGACATGCTGGTTCAGGTAGACCTCTTCCTTCTGGGGAGCTAGATCCCAATAAGGTATCTTCCAGCTTAGCCAACTAAATCACAATATGGCAGGGGTTATGCTAAATCTGACCATTGAAGGAACAGAGTGCTAGACATTCTCTCGGCCCCTTCCTCCCCTCCCACCCCCGCCAGAACAGGATGTGTCTCTACAAGCACATGAAGCCGCCCACTGGGAGAGCCCTTAGATTCTGCAGGAAGGAATATGGTCTAACCTCCGGAACTGTACAAAGCCATCCACTCAATGGGAGAGTATATGCTTCTCTGGGTAAAACAGTATGTTTTCCTGAGCCAGATGAATACTTTGGAAACAAGTACAAGGTAAGTCTTTAGATTTCTAGCGCTTGGAATAGGATCTGGGCCTTAAAATACAAGATACAGCAACTTTAATTTTATGCAAACACAGAAATACAATGAAGTAGCTACTCTGGACTTTAAATTAAACTACGATATAGAAGTCACTGCAATTATTAACTATAGAACTAAGTCGTAGTGTTATTCAATATCTCTGCCAAACATGTTTGTATGAATACCCAAAAATAAGGCATTACATTATTAAAATATACTCCAAAATTGTTCAAATCTATTTCTTCTTCAGCTCTAAAGTTTACAAATGCATTTTTTGACACAAAGAATGAACTTGCCAAAAGGGAAAAAGAAAAAACAACCTACCTTTCTCCTTGTTTCCCACCACTTTTAGGGTTGACAAAAACCAGAAGTGGATGAGTGCCTGGAACTGGAGTGATCTAAAAAAACATACAACACAGCCACTCATCAATGTTGAATGCTGCATTTGGTTTATCTTACACTAGACAGAAAACAGCAAGCTGTGCTCCTGTAACTGTAATCCAGCTGGAAATAATTCCACAAATTGCAATAATCCCCTCTTGGTTAATTTGCTACAAATTATAAATGACATTTATTATTTCAATTGATGCCAGCTCTCTGGCATACTGCTGTGCTGCCATTTTAACCTTAAATTCCATTTAAATAAGTACAACATTGGAACATATGAGTTATATTCATCAGGAAAGGAAGTGCACATCAGATGATGCAAGAAATTAATAATTTTGAGCCTGACAGACTAAGTAATATCCATATAAAAAAACAAGTAAGGAAATACACATTCTAAGGGAAAATAAAATTATGCTTTAAAAATAGCACTGTATTTCATTATAGATTTTGAGCCAAGCCTCTAAGTCTGTGAGCATAATTTTATGCACAAACAAAATTGTGTCTGATCTACATGAAATCTCGAACTTGGAGAGAATTTCACAAACTGAACAATGCTCTTTTTTTCAAAATTTTTGAAATGTCACAATACCCTCATATTTATGATGGCATACAATCATGCAGGTTTTATTTTTTTAATGTAGCAGTCAAGAACAAGTACCAGTAGTCCCTTCAAATAACCCAGAAGGAAAAGAAGGAGCTGAAGTTTGCTGAAGGAGGAGTGACTAAAGAAAGAGAACAAGAAAATAAGGGAGAAATGCTGATATTGGAGAAAAGAGTATTCTTCCGACCCATTCATCATTCCTCAACTGGTTTTCTAATATGTTACATATTGACTTCAGTTTTTAGTTTGGCAGTAGACTCACTACTACCTTGCTGGACAATATAATCACTCTGCACTGTCAGATATTATGGGACTGATCCTCAGTTCTGAATTTTTTTATCTTCATTTACTTCAAGATATTTCAGAAGAATTACATTAGCTAACATTTTGTTTCTATAAATTTCTAAAACTCATAAAACAGTAGTTTTGTACCAGGGGTGACCAAACCATGGCTCATGAGCTGTATGCAATTTAAAGGCAGCACTTGAAAAATAGTAGTAGTTAAATAAAATCACCTTTCCCCACTTACCTCTTCACTTATGATTTCCTTTTTTTTTATTATTTTATTCAGTTTCTGCTTATTACTTATTTTAAGAAGACATTTAATGACAAATTATCATTTCAGTCCAGGTGTTAGATGCAGATCACTGACTCTAGAACAGTGGTCTCCAACCTTTTTATGATGAAGATCAGTTTTTGGCACCCCAAGATCTACCACACCCCCCAGCCTGTCCCACCCTACCCCCTGCCCCTGCTCCCCACCTCCTGGGCAAGCTACCTGGGCTCTGACCCCACTTACTCAGCCCAACCTGGGCAGCAGGGGGCGTGGCTTAGCCCAGCTATGTGCGTCCTGCCGTTCCGGATCATGGAGCCTCTGACAGACTGAGATCGACTGTCAGAAGCTCCACAATTGACCAGTTGATGGAGACTGACTGGTTGGTGACCACTGCTCTAGAACACGCATGTCTTGAAAGTAGACTGCTTATAGACCAGCACATGCCCAGAGGGGGCATTACATTAGTTTGGCCCCACTTGCCCAACATCTATATAGACTGGGTGCTTCAGTGCAGCTTTTTTGGTGCTTTTATTTAATAGTTCATTGAATCACCTTCAGATAAAGTGCCAAAAAGCCCCACTGAAGCACACAGTCTATACAGGCACTGTGGAGCCAGTCAAACTAATGCAGGCTCTTCTGATAAAGAGACAGTTTGTTTGTTTTTTCATGTCTGTCAACAGCCTGTGTCCTGCAGTTCTTGGCTGTGGCAAGATTTTGATCTGCAGCTAGAGGGTTTAGAAAGTTTTCCAAGTACTATTTTCAACACTACTTTATGCATACATTACATATAAAAATATTTAAAAGATATCAGTGTTGCAAATCTAATACCCACAAGTTAGAAAAACCTAGAACTGATGTTGTCCCTCTCCTCACTTTCTGTTTGTTGCCTCAGTAACTTCTGGAATAACTGCAAACTAAGTGGTGCTCAGCTTCTGTAGCCTTGAGCTAGAAAATATTCAGTATAGATAAAACCCTTGTCAAAATTATCTACCAAGTTCTTATAAGTTTCTACTGGGCATTTTCAATCCTAGAGAGGTTTACAGACTTGCCAGACTGACAGAGACAATAAAATGCACACATATGAAAAAAAGAAAACCATTCTGACAACTTTCAAGCCCTTGTCCCCAAAGCATGGAGATATTAATGCTTCTCAACAAAACGGTTGCATATATATTTTCATCACTGGTAAAATAAAATATTTATCTTTAATCTTATTTTCTAAAATGACAGTCTTTTCAGCTGAAACTTCCAAAAATTTAGTATCGATAAACATCAGCCATGGAAATTTTCAGCACAAATGGTTAAAGTTTGGTATATTTATAAGCAACATTTTCTTCCAAATGAAAATTTTGAGCAATTTGAGCTAAAGGCAGTCATATCAGCTCCACCCATAATTATGTTTGCATTTGGTCTGATTCTGGTGTAAACTATAACAGTGTAAAACAGGAATAATTCCAATGATATCAGTGGAGCTGCACAAGTGCAGAACTGCTGCAGCATCAGAATCAGATCCAATATATGCATACAGATTAGGCACTGTATGTTTGAACATACATTCTGCAGTTTGTTATTATATATCAATTATTGTCATATATTTAATTCTTATCTACAGTTTTAATCAATTTTAGTTATTTAGTCCAATTCCCATGATGTTTGTTCCCATGAGCTAAATGTAAACCAATGGTACTGCTTGTGACAAAGATGGACTACCTATTGAAGTCCCTTAGGACTCAGGTTAATTAATGAGACTCATCCTAAGGTTATACATGATCTATTACTTCCTCTAATTAGAAATAATAATCCTGATCATTATGCTGGTTAGCTAGAAAGAAGTAAGATGAATGTGCTTAACTATGATTAATAGTCTTCACTAAGTAGCGCAGATCCCCACTGCCACTTAGTTATCTGCACACACTTCTGCAACTCGATGTTTTGTCTTGATACTTTTCTTAATACAAAAAAAAAATTATAGATAAATTATTTCCCATTTCCAGTTTTTTTATTTCAAAACATAACCACATTATTGCAGACAGTTCTAGAACTGGTAAAAAAAAAAAAAAAAAAAAAAAAAAAAAGTCTAGTCATTCCTATTTCACTCCATTCTGGAAAAAAATAAGGTCCCTTTCAATTAATTTCTTATAGCTTTTCTAAATGACTTTTCTAAATAATGTAGACATTTCTAGATAATTCAAAATGCAACCTGAGATTTAGACTAATTTATTGAACATTTTTATGCCTTAATTCAATTTAATTTTATATAAGGACAGCCTTCCTGAAGTCACAGAAGGGATCACTTACATTTTTTGGTCCCAATGCTGCAAAAGAAGTTTGGCCATTAGTTTCAGTAGGAGCAGATCAATTATAACCAAGTTTCCCTCATCTTTAAAACATAAACTATTCTGGTAATCTCAAAGGTATGTTGTGAGAAATTTTATGTTGTGTTTATATAACATTCCAGAAATATAAAGACAGCAAATAAGTGCCAATTATCATCGCCATTAAGTTTTCTGATCCACATACTTGTTTACAAAACTAAACTCCCAAAACACCTGTTTTAAGCTAAATTGCTGAAGGTGATTTCTATATTTTAAAGGGCAATAGTAACAACAAAAAATAAAAATCTTGTGTTGGATTACTGTTGATCCAACAAGATATAAGCATCTATCTTCCTGTGTAATTAAAGTAGCATAAATACTACATTAACCTTAATTTTTCAGCTACAAAACATCAGCATCAGCAAATCTTATGCTACACAGAAAACTAAGGGTTTTTCCAAACGAAACATATAGGGCATTTTTACACATATTCTGGGATGCAGTGCTGGCCACTCTAAGTAGTGAGCCACACTAATTAAAAGCACCATGTCAGATGTATCAGCAACCCTGCACTGAAAAAATGGTGGGAGGGTGTTTTGAACTAAAGTTCATTGAACGTGTTTTATTAGAAAAAGCCCCATCACCATTTTTCAGCACAGGGACACTAATACACATGATGTGGCAGGCTGTTGGAGCATGTCAATTTCCGTGCTCCAGAAGACTCGATTAATTGAGTCTGCTCTGAAGTGCTGAATTCCCATGTCTGATTCAGAAAAGCCAGATGCATGACACAAACCTAACGCCAAGTTAGTCCTTCCCCATCAGTGACAAACTGATGGCTAAATCCATATAAATTTGAAACATACCACTTCAGGTTTTATTTTGTCCATGACCATCCTGTGATTTAGCTAAATGATGACTCGCACTGTTTTGTGCCCTCTCTGAACTGGGTGCTCTAGTCACCTCTCTGATTTCCACTAATTCCAGGGTCATGATGTCACCATGGTAAACTCTGATATCTGGAACAAAGCTGTATCCGGGTCCTTTTCCTTTTCACTAAGATGCTACAGAGCTTTTTTTTGTTTGTTTGTTTGTTTTTGATATTCCCTTGTTCATTTCTTGTCTTCAGCCTTAAGAGATCTCAGTGTCTTCAAAATGTTGTCTGCTCCAGTGTGCTGTTCAAGCAACTGGACATGTGAAGAGACCGTCAATCTCATCTCACTAGGGTAGAGGCTAAACTATAGAAGGCTGAGAATAAAAACCATCACAAAATGATCTACAACACCATCATCAGACTGACAGCTTTTTGGGATCAGCATGATACCCAGAAGTGTAGGTTCAGAGTGAAGGACTTCAAGTGGCAATTAAAAGCAGACAGGGATGCCAACCATCACTTACATTGCTATGAACTGCCAAGCATTGAAGATGGAGACCATGGACCCATCACCTAGCCCTACCTTGCTCTGCAAATACTCAGATGTGACAAAACCAACAGTAGTTTTACCCAGGCCAACATGGATCAGCAGCAGTCAGAGGTTG